TTCCCACAATAAGATGGGTGAATTTTGGTCCATTCCTCCTGACAGAGCTGGTTTAACTGAGTCAGGTTTGTAGGCCTCCTTGCTCGACACGCTTTTTCAGTGGATATAGATATTTTTTTACCTCTTTCCAACAGCATTTTCACAAGGTCCTTTGCTGTTGTTCTGGGATTGATTTGCACCAAAGTACGTCCATCTCTAGGAGACAGAAAGCGTCTCCTTCCTGAGTGGGATGACGGCTGCGTGGTCCCATGGTGTTTATACTTGCATACTATTGTTTGTACAGATGAACGTGGTACCTTTTAGGCGTTTGGAAATTGCTCCCAAGGATGAACCAGACTTGTGGAGGTCTACCATTTTTTTTTCTGAGGTCTTGGCTGATTTCTTTTGATTTTCCCATGATGTCAAGCAAAGAGGCACTGAGTTTGAAGGTAGGCCTTGAAATACATCCACAGATACACCTCCAATTGACTCAAATGATGTCAATTAGCCTATCAGAAGCTTCTAAAGCCATGACATCATTTTCTGGAATTGTCCAAGCTATTTAAAGGCACAGTCAACTTAGTGTATGGAAACTTCTGACCCACTGGAATTGTGATACAGTGAATTATAAATTAAATAATCTGTCTGTGAACAATTGTTGGAAAAATTACTTGTGTCATGCACAAAGTAGATGTCCTAACCGACATGCCAAAACTATAGTTTGTTAACAAGAAATGTGTGGAGTGGTTGAAAATAGTTTTAATGACTCCAACCTAAGTGTATGTAAACTTCTGACTTCAACTGTATATATATATTTTTTTACTTATATATTTTTTACTTAACACTTATTTTTCTTAAAACTGCATTGTTGGTTAAGGGCTTGTAAGTAAGCATTTCACTGTAAGGTCTACACCTGTTGTATCCGGCGCATTTGGCAAATAACATTTGATTTGATTTAATATCTCTAATATCTCCACCAGGGTCAATTCCATTTCAATTCCAGTCAATTCAGGAATTCCAATTCTAGTTCTCTTCAATGCTTTCTAATGATGACAATTTAGAATTGGAATTTAGTTTGCTTTCTGAATTGAGTGGAATTAAAATTGGAATTGACCCATACTGAGATCTTCACTATATCTCCTCCATGTCACCAGGGTGATGTGAAAGGGTACATGCGGAGCTGTTGGGCTGCAGACACAATGACCCCTGAACCCCTGATCCTGCAGAGGATGGCCTGTGAGATCGCCTCAGGGCTCCTGCACCTGCACAAACACAACTTCATACACAGGTGGGGGTCACTCCCTCTATCTATATATCATTACCACTATGTTATAGTTTTTATACTACTAACCACTCATTGGAATGATACTGATATTACCCTGTAGACTGCTGGTACCCAGTAGTCACGTGCTGCCAGACATCACACCGTAATCTTGTTCTGTAGAAACCTAGGACAGACTAGGTTCCCAGAATCCCGCAGCTGTGATTTGTTGGCTCTTCTTCTTGGTTCCTGTTGGTTCCTTCCTGTAACAATATCCTGGTGCTGCCTGAGTGCCTCTTCATAGACTCCAGCATCAGTGATTTTGTTGCAGGGGGAGACCCCTTCTCTCCAGAGTGACCCCTTCTCTTCTCTTCACTGTCTACTTAGCATCCACTTAATGAGGAATGGTTCAAATTGATGAGTAACAATGTACAACATTTATTGATTGACTGCATTAAGTTCTGTAAGGCTTTTAGTACAGTATTGAAAAAGTCAGACTGTCCATGGACTCACCATGATAACGTGCCTGTTATGCATATACATCATCAATCAATTATCATCTAATGTACAAATGTGTTCTCTGTCTTCCCTGCAGTGACCTGGCCTTGAGAAACTGCCTGCTGACCGCTGATGTCACAGTGAAGATTGGAGACTACGGCCTTTCACACAACAAGTACAAAGATGACTACTTTGTGACGTCAGACCAGATGTACGTGCCACTGCGTTGGATCGCTCCAGAACTCATAGATGAAGTTCATGGCAACCTACTGGTAGTAGGCCAGAGCAAACAGAGCAACGTCTGGTAAGAACATCAATCGACCGATAGATAAAGTTGAAGTCGGAAGTTTACATACACCTTAGCCAAATACATTTAAACTCAGTATTTCACAATTCCTGACATTTAATCCTAGTAAAAATTCCCTTTCTTAGGTCAGTTAGGATCACCACTTTATTTTAAGAATGTGAAATGTCAGAATAATAGTAGAGAGAATGATTTCGTTCATCTTTTATTTCTTTCATCACATTCCCAGTGGGTCAGAAGTTTACATACACTCAATTAGTATTTGGTAGACCAATGGGGCGGCGCACAATTGGCCCAGCGTCGTCCAGGGTAGGGGAGGGAATGGCCGGCAGGGAGGTAGCTCAGTTGGTAGAGCATGGCGTTTGCAACGCCAGGGTTGTGGGTTCGATTCCCACGGGTATGAAAATAAAAAAGAATAATGTATGCACTAACTGTAAGTCGCTCTGGATAAGAGCGTCTGCTAAATGACGTAAAATGTAAATGTAAATGGTAGCATTGCCTTTAAATTGTTTAACTTGGGTCAAACGTTTTGGGTAGCCTTCCACAAGCTTCCCACAATAAGTTGGGTGAATTTTGGCCCATTCCTCCTGACAGAGCTGGTGTAACTGAGTCAGGTTTGTAGGCCTCCTTGCTCGCACACGCTTTTTCAGCTCTGCCCACAAATATTCTATAGGATTGAGATCAGGGCTTTGTGATGGCCGCTCCAATACCTTGACTTTGTTGTCCTTAAGCCATTTTGCCACAACTCTGGAAGTATGCTTGGGGTCATTGTCCATTTTGAAGACCCATTTTGCGACCAAGCTTTACCTTCCTGACTGATGTCTTGAGATGTTGCTTCAATATATCCACATTATTTTCTTTCCTAATTATGTCATCTATTTTGTGAAGTGCACCAGTCCCTCCTGCAGCAAAGCACCCCCACAGCATGATGCTGCCACCCCCGTGCTTCACGGTTGGGATGGTGTTCTTCGGCTTGCAAGACTTCCCCTTTTTCCTCCAAACATAACGATGGTCATTATGGCCAAACAGTTCTATTTTTGTTTCATCAGACCAGAGGACATTTCTCCAAAAAGTACGATCTTTGTTCCCATGTGCAGTTGCAAACCGTAGTCTGGCTTTTTTATGGCGGTTTTGGAGCAGTGGCTTCTTCCTTGCTGAGCGGCCTTTCAGGTTATGTCGATATAGGACTTGTTTTACTGTGGATATAGATACTTTTGTACCTGTTTCCTCCAGCATCTTCACAAGGTCCTTTGCTGTTGTTCTGGGATTGATTTGCACTTTTCGCACCAAAGTACGTTCATTTCTAGGAGACAGAACGCATCTCCTTCCTGAGCGGTATGATGGCTGCGTGGTCCCATGGTGTTTATACTTGCGTACTATTGTTTGTGCAGAGGAACGTGGTACCTTAATGCATTTTGAAATTGCTCCCAAGGATGAACCAGACTTGTGGAGGTCTACAATTTATTTTCTGAGGTCTTGGCTGATTTCTTTTGATTTTCCCATGATGTCAAGCAAAGAGGCACTGAGTTTGAAGGTAGGCCTTGAAATACATCCACAGATACGCCTCCAATTAACTCAAATGATGTCAATTAGCCTGTCAAAAGCTTCTAAAGCCATGACATCATTTTCTGGAATTTTCCAAGCTGTTTAAAGGCACAGTCAATTTAGTGTATGTAAACTTCTGACCCACTGGAATTGTGATACAGTGAATTATAAGTGAAATAATCTGTCTGTAAACAATTGTTGGAAAAATTACTTGTGTCATGCACAAAGTAGATGTCCTAACCGACTTGCCAAAACTATAGTTTGTTAACAAGAAATTTGTGGAGTGGTTGAAAAACAAGTTTTAATGACTCCAACCTAAGTGTATGTAAACTTCCGACTTCAACTGTAGATAGATAGATAGATTCAGCCTAATTCTGGATGAAGACCAATCTCAATGGAGCATGCTTTTTAGTCTAGGAATCTGTGTGCAGGAAACCGACCATATCTGGTTTTGGGTCTCAGTGATCGTAATTGACCAATGTTTTCCCCAGTAAATAGGGGTTGTTATGCTTTACATGTAAGCATTTCACTGTTAGTCCACACCTGTTGTTTACGAAGCATGTGTCATTTGATTTGATGTGTTGTTCTTCCCCATGATTCTATAGTCTGATGTTGAATGTTTTTTCAGGTCTCTGGGTGTGACTATCTGGGAGTTGTTTGAGTTGGGCAACCAGCCGTACAGACACTACTCTGACAGACAGGTCCTGACCTACGCCGTGAGGGAACAGCAGCTCAGACTGGCCAAGCCCCTGCTCAAAATACCCCTGGCAGAGCGCTGGTGAGTCACACACACACACACACACACACACACACACACACACACACACACACACACACACACACACCAGACAGACAGACAGACAGACAGACAGACAGACCGAAACAAACAAACAAACAAACAAACATCAGCCCATACATATATTCTGTGTCCCAAATGGCACCCTATTTCCTATTTAGTGCCTAGGGCTCTGGTCAAAAGTTGTACACTAAATAGAGAATAGGGTGCCATTTCGGACGCAGACAAAAATATGACTGATGTGATGATGCATTATCTCTGAAGATGGGGAAGGCAATCAAAACTCATCTCTCAAAGGATGAGAAGAGGATGCTTGATTCCTCATTTCCTTAATGGATTCCAATTAAAATGCAAATGCCAAGGTGGTTTTCCTTCCCTGAGCTACGTCCCAAATGGCACCCTATTCCCTATGTAGTGCACTACTTTTGACCACAGCCGATAGATTCATTTGTGGTTCATTATATCTTCCTGTATCCCATGGTTGTTGTAATGGTTGTTGTGGTGTGTGTGTGTGTGTGTGTGTGTGTGTGCTTGTGTCTTCTTGTGTCACCAGGTATGAGGTGATGCAGTTCTGCTGGCTCCAACCAGATCAGAGGCCCAATGCAGAGGAGGTCCACCTGTTACTCAGCTACCTGTGTGCTAAGGGGGCCAACGAGGCCGAGGAGGACTTTGAGAGGCGCTGGAACTCCCTGCGTCCCAACCCCAACGCTGGCCCCAGCAGCAGCCTCCACCACGGGGCAGGAGCCCTGGCCATTGGTATGTTTCTGCCCCTTTTTATGGCTCCTGACTACTTTGCATTATGTTTTTTGTCTGCTTCTGTTTTAAAAGAAAATACAAATCTGTGCACTGCTCTTTTCAGTATCACTTTAGTTCAGAGGTTCTTCAGCTTTTTCAGCTCGAGACCCAAATGAGAAATGTACTGTCCTCAAACGACCCAAATTAGGAAGAAATAGTGTGTGATTATATATGTTTACTCATAACTCGCGACCCACCTCTCACATGCTCAGGGCTCCTTTTGGGTCCCAAACCATAGTTTAAGAAACCCTGCTTTAGTTGATTAAGCTCTGCTGCTGTTTGACATGACATTTCCCCTTGGGGGCTTAACAAAGTACTTAGCTGTCTGTCTATCCGTCTACAGACCTCCCCTCCTCCTCCTTCCCCCTGCTGGAGCAGTTCTCTGGATGCGATGGCTACCAATGCGAGTCAGGAGATGATATACTGACCGTGACCGAGACCAGCCACGGCCTGAACTTCGAGTACAAGTGGGAGAAGGCTCAGGCGGGGGCCGGGGCGGAGCAGCCTTACCACCGTGCTGCCTCGTCCTCCAGCGGTACCCTGGGGGCCGTCAACCACCACCGCCAGGACCTGTACTACCCCCCTGGGCCAGGGGGCATGGTGGGGGGCTGTGGTGGGGTGGAGATGGACGGGCTCACTCTGGGGGTGCCCCCCGCCTACTACGAGCCCAAGATGCTGCATGGTCCTGGGGTTGGGGTGTTGCCGGTGCTCAGCGCCCACAGTCCTTCAGTGAGCGCTGAGTACTACATCCGCATGGAGGAGCCTGGTGTGGACTATACCATGTGCTCCTACAGCCCAGACTACCAGGGCAGCAATGGGAGCTTCCTGACCGGCAGTGGTAGTGCAGACTCAGGGGAGTGTATTATGGGAATGGGTGCATGTCCCTCCCAGGCCCACTCCAAGCCTGTAGACTCGTACTGGTCGGCAGATATCCGTAAAGCTGGGGGTGGTGGAGCGTATGATTCGGACCCAGACGGAAGCCCGGCCATCTCCCTGACCATGGAGCCCCTACTGGGGCAAGTCTCTGACTCCAGCCCCCTGAGACCCTGGGAGGCTGGTCACTACGTCTCCTACAAGGACCGGGACGGGGGGTTCTACTACGAACACTCACCCCCTATGGGCATAGGCCACCACATGGGCCTGGGTCTGGGGATGGACCAGCACCAGCACTATCTGATGGGGCGGGAACACTCTCCCCCCGAGCCCCACCAGGAGAGCTGGGGGTCCCGGAGCCTGCGTCAGGCCCTGGGGGAACTGGAGAACCCTCTGGGGATATCTCCCTCCATCAGTACCCCTCCCCAGGGTGGTGGTCCTCCTTTTGGGGTAGGGGACCCCTACCTGGTGACGACCCAGGGACCAGGCTCCATCATTGGGGGGAGTAGCGTCACTGGAGGTTACTATGACATGATGGGTTCTCTGAGGAAAACCATGCCGACCATGCGAAGCCACACCCACTCAGTCAGCATCACCATGGCGTCGGAAGAGGCCCTCTTCATTGGTCACCGTGACAGTGACTCGGACGAGGAAGAGGATATATTCTCAGAGAGGCAGACAATCAACAGTAGTAACACCTGGCCCTCTAACCACTGCACTAACAACAATAGTCTAGGCCTGGGCCGTAGTAGACAGGCTGGCTGTAGGCAACAACAGGATGCCTATGTAGACTTCCACTACACTATGCCCACTACCGACATAGAGGACTCGTGGCCTGAGGAGCACAACCTGACCTCCCGCTCCTCTGTCTCTGCTGCAGTTAAACCCATAGACTACCTGGAGGGTACGGCGGCTTCGGCTAAAGACAGCAGCTGTCTATCCCTGGGGAAGCATCATACCCTGGTACCCTCCGGCGACGCCTACAACACATACATCTATCTGTGCCACGAGAGGGAGGGGGAGAGGGAGGTGAAGCCGCCACCAATCGAGCGCTGCCACTCTCATTTCGTCGACCCCCTCACAGGCCTAGTGGTGCGAAACTACAGCTGTGATGACTACAGAGATCAGATTGTAGAGATTCCCAACAACGACGAAGAGAGTGTGAATCTGTCTCCAGCACCAGGAGGGCCTAGTGTGTCTAAATCAACCCTGACACACAACACTAACACAACCACAACCATAACCAACTTTGACCACTCTGAGCAGTATGTTGACATCACTATGGACGATGCCCTTTCCATAGACCACAAGCAAGAGGTTGTCACAGAAGACAAAGGGGTTCTCACTGATCCTAAACCAGAGGACGTGAATCTGACTAAAACTATGGCTATGGCTACCCCACTTCCCTCAGTGAATGTGCCTGGCCTAGTCTGCCTGTTCGAGCCAGAGTCAGAGCTGAGCCATACATTAGACAGCGGCCTGGACAGAGACCACTGCTCCAGCATCAGTCTAGTGGACATCTCCGACTGCTATACCGACGACGATGATGAAGACGATGACATTACTGACGTGACCTCAGGGATCTTCGCTGACGAGGCGTCGGCCGGGGACCTTAACTCCTCCCCCTCCCTGGCCCGTCCCCTCAAGTCCCTGCAGAAGCAGGTGGGAACACCCGATTCCATGGACTCCATGGACCTGATGCCTTCAGCGGCCGGCTCCACCGCAGAGCCATTCAGCCCTGCCTCTAGCTCCTCCCACCCATCTAGTTCCTCCCCCAAGGCAATGGACAGCGGGTACGAAACAGAGAACAACGAGAGCCCAGAGTTCGTCCCCAAGGAGCCCCACAACGAGCCCCGGGACCCAGAGACATTCACCCAGCCACTGGGGGAGTCTGTCCTGGACACCAGCCAGGATGAGGAGAGGGGAGAGGAGGCCGAGGTGGCTCCACCGGAGGATGAGGAAGAACCTACTCTGGATGAAGATGTGGCTCTAGCAGCCTTACAGACCACAGACAAAGAGAAGGAGCTGGCCCCCCTCAGTGAGAAGAACCCTTACAGGGACTCTGCCTACTTCTCTGACTATGAGAACGAGCGCCTATCCAGGGATGAGGAGGATGACAAAGTGGGGGGTGATGAAAATGTAGGAGTGGAGGAGGGAGAAGAGGAGGAGAGCCTGACAGAGAAGAGGGAACTCAGCCCTCTTCATATAGAGGATGAGGAGGAGGGAGAGGAGACCTCAGCTCTTCTTCTGGAGGAGAGTGAAGACCCAGAGATGGGGGGATGCCCGACAGAAGAGTGCACCCATGATGAAGGGCTGGAACTGGGGCTAGAGCAGGCTTCCCATGATGAAGGGCTGGAGCTGGGGCTAGAGTTGGCCTCCAATATCTCTGGAGAAGTAGAGGAAGGGTCAGAGGGATGGCCTGCCCAGGAGGAGCCCTCTTCTCTGGGAGACTGGGCAGCAGAGGTGGTGGGGGCTATGGAGGAAGCCCTGGGGGAACTCCAGAGGAGCAGCAGTACTGAAACAAATTCTGTTACCAAGGAGGAAGAGGAAAGAGGGCGAAGGGACGTGGAGGACTCATCTGAAGCCTTAGAATCAGCAGACGTCCTAGAAGAAGCATCTAGCGAAAAGTCAGAGAGCATCGACAAGGACGTTGATGACGAAGAGAACGGACATCCCGCACGACGTCGACGCTCCTCCTCGTCCTCCCCTCCCTCCATTCCTCCTCCTCCTCTCCCCCCAATGACTCCCCCTCCGGGCCGGGTGTCGGTCACAGATGGGGGGGAGGCGGATGAGGAGGACGGAGATGGTGACTCGGAAGACAGTGAGTCAGATGAGGAGGTGAGGAGTTACAGTGTTCAAGAGGAGCATAGTGGAGGGGAGGAGAGCGGGGAGGAGAACCATGCTGTACCCATCGTGGTCAGCGACTGTAGCGATGCTCATAACCTACGTAGTCTACTGAAGATGCCCACCCCGCTCACTTCCGAGTCGCTCGCTGATGACCTGCTGGATCGAAAGAAGAAGGTGGTGTCATTCTTTGATGATGTCACTGTCTACCTGTTTGACCAGGTGAGTAGTCACTCACAGATTAAGGAAAACAAGTGAAAGGGTAGTTTCTGCATTATTCTAGTTCACAAGTTCATTGTCATTTTTCTGCTTATTTAATTCACGTACAGTGCCTTCGTAAAATATTCAGACCCCTTGACTTTTTCCACATTTTGTTACGTTACAGCCTTATTCTAAAATGGATTAAGTAATCAAAATCCTCAGCAATCTACACACAATACCCCATAATGACAAAGCGAAAACAGGTTTTCAGAAACAGAAATACCTTATTTACATAAGTATTCAGACCCTTTGTGATGAGACTCGAAATTGAGCTTAGGTGCATCCTGTTTCCATTGATCATCCTTGAGATTTTTCTACAACTTGACTGGAGTCCACCTGTGGTAAATTCAATTGATTGGACATGATTTGGAAAGGCACACACCTGTCTATATAAGGTCCCACAGTTGACAGTGCATGTCAGAGCAAACACCAAGCCATGAGGTCGAAGGAATTGTCCGTAGAGCGCCAAGGCAGGATTGTGTTGAGGCACAGATCTGGAGAAGGGTACCAAAACATTTCTGCAGCATTGAAGGTACCCAAGAACACAGTGGCCTCCATCATTCTTAAATGGAAGATGTTTGGAACCACCTAGAGCTGGCCGCCCGGCCAAACTGAGCAATCGGGGGAGAAGGGCCTTAGTCAGGGAGGTGACCAAGAACCAATGGTCACTCTTGACAGAGCTCTAGAATTCCTCTGTGGAGATGGGAGAACCATCCAGAAGGCCAACCATCTCTGCAGCATTCCACCAATCAGGCCTTTATGGTAGAGTGGCCAGACTGAAGACACTACTCAGTAAAAGGCACATGACAGCCCGCTTGGAGTTTGCCAAAAGGCACCTAAAGACTCTCAGACCATGAGAAACAAAATTCTCTGGTATGATGAAACCAAGATTGAACTCTTTAGCCTGAATGCCAAGCATCACGTCTGGAGGAAACCTGGCACCATCCCTGCGGTGAGGCATGGTGGTGGCAGCATCATGCTGTGGGGATGTTTTTCAGCGGCAGGGACTGGGAGACTAGTCAGGTTCAAGGCAAAGACAAAGTACAGAGAGATCGTTGATGAAAACCTCCTCCAAAGCACTCAGGACCTCAGACTGGGGCGAAGGTTCACCATCCTAAGCACACAGTCAAGACAACGCAGGAGTGGCTTCGGGACAAGTCTCTGAATGTCCTTGAGTGGCCCAGCCAGAGCCCAGACTTGAATCCAATTGAACATCTCTGGAAATACCTGAAAATAGCTGTGCAGCAACGCTCCCCATCCAACCTGACAGAGCTTGAGAGGATCTGCAGAGAGGAATGGGAGAAACTCCCGAAATACAGGTGTGCCAAGCTTGTAGCGTCATACCCAAGAAGACTCAAGGCTGTAATCACTGCCAAAGGTGCTTCAACAAAGTACTGAGTAAAGGGTCTGAATACTTATCTAATGTGATATTTCAGTATTTCATGTGTAATACATTTGTAAAAATGTCTAAAAACCTGTTTTTGTGTTGTCATTATTGGGTATTGTGGCTGTAACGTAACAAAATGTGGAAAAAGTCAAGAGGCTGAATAATTTCCAAATGCACTGTACATGGTATAAGACAAATTATATATTTTTTTGTGCCTTGAATTAAACTAGACATACTAATGAACTGTATAGACACTGAACAAAAATATAAACGCAACATGTAAAGTGTTGGTCCCATGTTTCATGAACTGAAATAAAAGATCCCAGAAAAGTTCCATACGCACAAAACCTTATTTCTCTCAAATTTTGTGAACAAATTTGTTTACATCTCTGTCAGGGAGCATTTCTCCAAGATAATCCATCCACTTGACAGGTGTGGCATATCAAGATGCTGATTAAACAGCATGATCATTACATGGGTGCACCTTGTGCTGGGGACAATGAAAGGCCACTTTAAAGTTTGCTGTTTTGTCACACAACACAATGCCACAGATGTCTCAAGTTTTGAGAGCGCGTGCAATTGGCATGCTGACTGCTGCTGGAATGTCCATCAGAGCTGTTGCCAGATCATTTAATGTTAATTTCTCTACCATAAGCTTCCTCCAACATCATTTTAGAGAATTTGGCAGTACGTCCAACCGACCTCACAACCGGCCAGCCCAGGTCCTCCACATCCGGCTTCTTCACCTGAGGGGGGTGCTGTGGAGTATTTCTCTGTTTTAATAAAGACCTTTTGTGCAGAAAAAATCATTCTGATTGGCTCGGCATGGCTCCTCACTGGGTGGGCCTGGCTTCCAAGTGGGTGGGCCTATTCCCTCCATGGTCACCCCTTCCCAGTCATGTGAAATCCATAGATGAGGGCCTAATTAATTTATTTCAATTGACTTATTTCTTTATATGAACTGTAACTCAGTAAAACTTTGAAACTGTTGTATGTTGCGTTTATATTTTTGTTCAGTATATTTTAGTTTGAAATGCACACTAACTATAGTTCTAACCTCTTGACTACTGTCTGTTTCCAGCAGAGCCCGACTAAAGAGCTGGCTGAGCATGGTTTCCCTCCAGGGGCTGAGACCAGCGGACAGAGTTCAGAGGGCAAACAACCAACCTCTGATGACTCCTCAGATGGAAACATCTCAGAAGAGAGTAAGTACACTAGTCCAGAGTCCACTACTTACATTGAAACATTGATTGAAGTCAATCAGCATTTCATTTCATAATCAATCTCAAATCTATTGGTTTAGATGTGTAAAATATAAGAGGCGGATGTGTCCAAACCTCTCCCTTTCTCTTCCTCTCTCCATACCTACCTTCCTCTCTCCCTTTCTCTTCCTCTCTCCATACCTACCTTCCTCTCTCCCTTTCTCTTCCTCTCTCCATACCTACCTTCCTCTCTCCCTTTCTCTTCCTCTCTCCATACCTACCTTCCTCTCTCCCTTTCTCTTCCTCTCTCCAAACCGACCGGCCGCGCCGCGCGGCCGCCAGACCGACCTCCGGCCTACGGGCTCCCGCCAGACGACCGGCCGGCCCGGAGCATAACAGCGCAGGGCCGGCATACCTACCCCTCCCTTCCCTCTCTCCAGACCTACCTCTCTCTTCCCATACGACTGATTCCTTTCTCTTCCTCTCTCCATACCTACCTTCCTCTCTCCCTCTCTCTTCCTTTCTCTCTACCTTCCTCCCTCTCTCTCTCTTCAGGTGCAGGGTATGAGTGGGAGGATGACTTCCCCCTGTTGCCCCTCCCGACTTCCTCATCCAAGATGGCTGCCTCCTCCTCAGCCTCAACCCCTTCCACACCCAGCCTACCCACCACCTCCAAGGCCCCGGAGCCCAAACCAGTGGTGCAGTACTCCCGCTTCACCGTCTCCCCTAGCCATGTGTCTCGCTTCTCCATCACACACGTCTCCGACTCCGACATGGACTCTGGTCCAGGTGAGTCTGGTGTTTCATTAGAAACATGTCTGAGGATAACTAATTGTATGGATTTTACATAGTGAATAATGAAACATAATGAAACGTAACTACCTCTCCCTCTGTCTCTCTCCCTCTCCCTCCCTCTCTCTCTCTCTCTCTCTCTCTCTCTCTCTCTCTCTGCAGGGAGCAGTGAGGATGGGGACAGAGAGTAGAACAGAACCACAGCCACCCAGGAGCTGCACCACATAAACTTATCGTGACTTTTATGTAGAGCTTTTTGGACATCAGGTTTCTGAAAAGACAGTGCCTCTTATTGTTTATGGTGTGGGAGAAGAGGGGAGAAGAGAATCAACTATGAGAATATAGAAAATAATATATGATGATAATATATAAATACACAGAATAATATACGTTACAAAGAACTTATATGCAGGTAAAGACTTTTATGTTGAGCTCAACATATTTTTGGAGAGAAAAACACATACATCTAAGGACAAACTTTGGAAAGTTGTTTGCCACCATAGTCATCACACTTTTACAGTATGTTATGGAGAACAAAAAAACATGGCTATCAAAACAGAACACACCATGTACAGTATACCCCACTCTGAGAAGAAGGGAGTGAAAAAATGGAGGAAAGGACAGAATCCAGGCTTTTCACTAAAGGATCGGTGTTGGAAAGTGACTGGACCAACAACATATCTTTGAGACATTGCTTCACCTGTCCTCATCAAATATAAATGAAATATCACATGTAATATAATAATGTTACATGTTTCCAAACACTTTTACGTCCATTGAAGGGAATAATGGGACACCTAAGTGTAAGTGAATGAATGAATCTATGGAACAAGGCAGAAAGTTGCTGCCTTGAAATGACTGTGTATTAGCAGAGATGATCAAAGCTGCATTTAGTGGTCCAGACTTTTCTATAAGGAGTAGGACCTCCACTGTATTGTACTGTATGTATGGACCTTATGATTTCCACCAATCAGAGTGCAAGAGTCACTATTCCCCTCCCTCTGAATGCCTGGGGTGTAATCATTAGTGCACACCGTAGCAAACAGTTGCAAAACGTTTCGCAACGGAAAACAAATTCAGGTATGTCCTTCCCCTGTTGGTTCCGTTTGCTTGCGTTTTGGTTCCAGTGAATGCACCTCTGCTTTTACAGACATTCCTGGACCTAAGCTATTGTGCAAATCCATCAAGTCATTTATTATGACTTTATTATGACTTTTAATAAATGCTGTACTCCTGTTTTAGGACTTTGGATCCATGTGCTTTGCAGCAGATAGTGTGGGTAAATCACAGCATACATTGGCTTCTGTCGTATCACCACGTTCTAGCATAGATGAGGGTAACTGCCTGTCCTTACCCTCTGTGTTGAGCTTCACATCATCACATGCTGTGTAATAGGCCTCTTTGTCTTGAGGTGAAGATTCTTTGTTAAACGATCAAAGTACTTGTACATTTCTGATTCTGATTCTGAAAACTGTACTGCAGTATAAGAACAGCAAGCATACAAATACACAGATAAACTTACAGATACAGTAGCAGATCATTTTTATAGAAAACTGATGAAATAATCACTTTTAAGAAATATGAAACCTAAAAATGAAACTTAAAGAATGGAAGAACAGTGGCTTCGGTAACATGTTGAAGATTAAATAATCCAATGACAATTGGAAGACCACAGAACTGAGAACTTGTTCAGTGTTAACATATTGTTTATGTTCAGCTGTGTGGTGGTCAAGGGTTTGGTGATGCTACATGGGTTTGTCATTGTGTATTGTTTCTTGATTGTGTTCATGATTTTAACAATGGAAAATACATTTAGAATTTATGGACCTTTTACTTTGCTATGTACAGTATGTGAAAATGTGTGTGCTATAGGAAGGAAGATGGAAGGCTGTGGGTGTAACATAGAAAGCATTCAGTACAGTCAGTCTAGTAAGCTAATGCAGTATTACATCAGTATCACTGTAGCATGGTCCCAAGTATTTTTGTGCAGTTTTGCCAACCCCAATGACCATAGTTGGCAAGACAGTACAAACATATCTGGTACCAGGCTAATATCACTGTAGGCTTTAGCTTCAAAGAACCAGGGTGCCAATTCAGTTCAACACATAGATATAGAATTACATACAGTAGATTCTATTTCTATGGTTCACATATCCACTCTAGTCTCCATGCAGTCAGTGTGTTCTGTTCTGTTTGTTTGCCTTTCTAGAGCTTTAATATTATGTACTAGTATAGTGTCTATAGATCCATCTAGACCGCCGTCTGTGTATGTACTATTTTTGTATCTCAAAAAAAGAAAGAAAACATTTTAAGAATATCAAGAAATGACCTGGAAGTGGGAGGTAAAATGAGATGTCTTTGTTTTATTGTTGCCAAAGAGATGTATTTAATGAAGTCATGAGGCAAACAGGAACAGGAATATATGATATTTGATCTATAATGTTTTAACCCTACAGATGTAGGATCTTAATTTGAGCCAGTTTGCTACAGCAGGAAAATAATCCAGCAGCAACAGGAAATGTGAATTATGTGGATTATAATTAATGGACATTTTTGTAGGGCTTGATACATTTTTCAAAGTGGAAATTACAAACTTCAGAAGCCTTTTTAAACCTCAAATACACAATTTTGAAACTTCCTGCATTGTAGGAAAGTTCTCCTGCAACAGGGTGATCAAATTAAGATCCTACATCTGTATAGCGAGACGATAGTCTGGGTACCAGTCTGTTTGTGTCATCATGCCACTCCTTGTAATGATGGCACAAACATACTGGTACTCAGGCTAGTGACAAGGAGCAACATTTGGTAATGCGCTGGTCGTGATTTAAACAAGCAGGACTAGTTTAGGGATGCTGTCAGTAAATGTGCCCCACCCACACTCACTTACTGGTCACATGGTTACTTTCTGTACCTTATTATGAAATATAAATAAAGTCTGTTTTACACATCGATGTGGGTCTCATGTATTACATAGCCTGGTCACATAGCCTGGTCCCAAATCTGTTTGTGCTCTCTAACCAACTCATAATGCTCACATAATAAAATAATGATGTAAAACATGAAGCAAAGAGGAATTTTTTTTTCAATAATTTCTTATAAACACAGTACAAACACACGGGTAATATCTGGAATATACTCTGCAATATCACTTTATTTTCTCTAGTAAATTCAGTGTTTTTTCTATACATTTACAGACAAATGAAACGGGATGAGAAGCAAATACATTTAGAAAATGGTACAAACTACAACAGGAAAATCTGTTTTAAGTAACACCTCCTTTGTATTTTTATGTAGTAATGTCATACTATTCAGTTTATATGCATGAACGCTTAATATTATTGTTCTTCTGTCATTTAAAATATGAAAATAACAGTGAAAAGCATCTGAATGCTATAACTTACAGTATTGTGTATAATATTTAGCTTTTCTTTCTCTGTCTCTCTCCTAATCTAGTGTGAGGCCACCATGCCCTGTGCTCTTCATATTCTCCCTGATACAGTGAGGGAAAAAAGTATTTGATCCCCTGCTGATTTTGTACGTTTGCCCATTGACAAAGAAATTATCAGTCTATAATTTTAATGGTAGGTTTATTTGAACAGTGAGAGACAGAACAACAACAACAAAATCCAGAAAAATGCATGTCAAAAATGTTATAAATTGATTTTCATTTTAATGAGAGAAATAAGTATTTGACCCCCTCTCAATCAGAAAGATTTCTGGCTCCCAGGTGTCTTTTATACAGGTAACGAGCTGAGATTAGGAGCACACTCTTAAAGGGAGTGCTCCTAATCTCAGCTTGTTACCTGTATAAAAGACACCTGTCCATAGAAGCAATCAATCAATCAGATTCCAAACTCTCCACCATGGCCAAGACCAAAGAGCTCTCCAAGGATCTCAGGGACAAGATTGTAGACCTACACAAGGCTGGAATGGGCTACAAGACTATCGCCAAGCAGCTTGGTGAGAAGGTGACAACAGTTGGTGCGATTATTCGCAAATGGAAGAAACACAAAAGAACTGTCAATCTCCCTCGGCCTGGGGCTCCATGCAAGATCTCACCTCGTGGAGTTGCAATGATCATGAGAATGGTGAGGAATCAGCCCAGAACTACACGGGAGGATCTTGTCAATGATCTCAAGGCAGCTGGGACCATAATCACCAAGAAAACAATTGGTAACACACTACGCCGTGAAGGACTGAAATCCTGCAGCGCCCGCAAGGTCCCCCTGCTCAAGAAAGCACATATACATGCCCGTCTGAAGTTTGCCAATGAACATCTGAATGATTCAGAGGAGAGTGTTGTGGTCAGATGAGACTTTGGCATCAACTCGATTCGCCGTGTTTGGAGGAGGAGGATTGCTGCCTATGACCCCAAGAACACCATCCCCACCGTCAAACATGGAGTTGGAAACATTATACTTTGGGTGTTTTTCTGCTAAGGGGACAGGACAACTTCACCGCATCAAAGGGACGATGGACGGGGCCATGTACCGTCAAATCTTGGGTGAGAACCTCCTTCCCTCAGCCAGGGCATTGAAAATGGGTCGTGGATGGGTATTCCAGCATGACAATGACCCAAAACACACGGCCAAGGCAACAAAGGAGTGGCTCAAGAAGAAGCACATTAAGGTCCTGGAGTGGCCTAGCCAGTCTCCAGACCTTAATCCCATAGTAAATCTGTGGAGGGAGCTGAAGGTTCGAGTTGCCAAACGTCAGGCTCGAAACCTTAATGACTTGGAGAAGATCTGCAAAGACGAGTGGGACAAAATCCCTCCTGAGATGTGTGCAAACCTGGTGGCCAACTACAAGAAACGTCTGACCTCTGTGATTGCCAACAAGGGTTTTGCCACCAAGTACTAAGTCATGTTTTGCAGAGGGGTCAAATACTTATTTCCCTCATTAAAATGCAAATCAATTTATAACATTTTTGACATGCATTTTTCTGGATTTTTTTGTTGTTATT